GCACGCACGCACACACGCACGCACGCACGCACGCACGCACGCACGCACGCACGCACACACACACACACACACACACACACACACCTAACACGAATGCTTGAGGAGAGGCTGCGCTTTGCTGTCTCGCAGTATGTGCTTAGACGCCTGACTGCGCGCTTGTTGGCACTCATATCCTTCTTGTGTTTGCTCTTGAACTCCTGCATAAAGTGAGCGACCATGCGGTTGTCAAAGTCTTCTCCTAAAAATATTTACATAGCAATCGTTGAAACCTGATAACAGTGCATCTTATTTTACAACACCCATGCAAAGTTTACGTATCGAGCACCACACTACGTTTTACGCGGCACATTGAAGGACGACTGGCCATTGAAGACGGCGGCATCTTTGAGGTGAAATCTACTTCTGGTAATACGCATTTAGGAGGTAAGGAAGATGTCTCCATCGTGAGAAAGTACCACCCCCCAGATCGCAGATGAGTATATTGCGCTCTCCATGACCCTAACAAACAACAAGGTCTTATAATGACCGATAAATATAATGGGTACATTTAGGTTTTGTGACCACTAGCAGCAGCAACAAGGAGTTCAGGTGCAAATCACAACCTGGTATAGTTTAGTTTATTTTTTTTAATATTAGACTTTATGTAGTTGTTTACTTCACATACACCCAAGAAAGAATGTAACTAGCTGCATGAGTCACACACCTGACCTTTATTGTCAAGTCCATATGCAATAGCTGCAGCTGTTGGTTCGCTGATAAGTCGTAGCACATTGAGACCAGAAATAGTGTGATATACAACTAAATTGTTATTTTTTCGAACAGACTGTGGAAAACGCCGTAGTAACAGTACCAGCATATTTCAATGACAGTCAGCGGCAGGCAACGAAAGACGCCGCCACAATAGGTAATGTAAGGTCGGGGAACAACGCATGTTTTGCGCAAGGCCAATTAGGCCATCTTGTATCCGGTCTCTCTGGCTGCCCTCTATGTAGAACTAACTACTCGAATCCCTCTGGGTACTACAGAAAGCCCGATAATCGGTCAATTGAGCAGTTCTGGCGATTGCAGAAGCCTTTCGACTCTGCACGTAGGGCGAGAATAAATCCAATGGTCGTAATTGCTATTTTTTTTGGTTGGCGCGTTACTTTTTCGTCTATTAAAGCGATTTCTAATTTATTTAATTTAACGCCCTGAAGTTATTCTCGTACATATCGCGTCCCATAGATGGCGCGACGAGGCTCTCTTCGAGGGATTTTCGAGAGAATTTCCCTTAGACTGCCCCGCGGTGGACAGTTTGACACGCTCCACTAACTATAACTTTAGTCTAGCGAAAGATACTTGGCCGAATTAACGTCCGTACCAGTCTAACTGGAATCGTGACGTCGCGTTTTCATTATCGTAGCCATGTTGGTTCTCCTGACGTTAATTGGCTAAGCCCGTTGATTGATGTTTCTTTACACTCAGAATTGCCACTAGATGTTCTGTGGCAAAGCAGCAGCCGTATGTCTGTTATGACCCCCGATGGCATGAGGTTTGCGATGATGACGTCAGACTTGAACGATGTATATATAGCACAGCAGAGCGCATAATACCATAGCCCTCTGCATAGAGCGTAGAGCATAGACGATATGTTCTTTGCAATTGATACATACCCATCGATCTTGCATGCATGAATGTGTCATGCCACGCTGTTGTAGTGCGCTGTTGTGTAAGTCTACGGTTGTTCCATGTCAGTCGTCGAAAGCAGGAAAGATTTCTTTCCATAGGTGAGTGAACCTTCGAATAGTCATCGTCTAGTTCTTACATAATGTTGTATCTATATCATCTATATGTCTCGAAATGCCAACGTATAATTGTCAAGGTCATGAAATGATCGATTGAGATATGCACCTAAACGCGTTTGTGTAATTCCGTAGCATTACTTAGTATGGAAGCAGGTACAGGTGATAGCATAACATCGTCTTCATTATACTGTGTTGTCCGTCGTGGATATCATGTGTGTGGTATATATATATATATATATATATCTATATATTAAGCTTGCAATAGATATGCAATTATAGCTATATCTCATATATAGGTATATAAATGTTGTCTATGATTGTCGAGGTCGTCAAATCATCTATTCACATCTCGTACGTGCATGAATAACGGCTTGCGGTTTGACTATTGAACACATATTTCCCGCAATTCGCTAGCTTTGTAATTAACCGCCAATGCGCCACAACCATTCTCCGCGCAATATCACAATTCATGAATGCAGTAACTCGCTATTTTCTCCGTCATTTCTTGACATGTTCAGCTTGCAATATATATAGAATTGCCGTCTTGTCGGCCGCCGCCGCTGTCATCCGCCGCTCATCATGCCGTCTTGTCGGTCATTTATGTTATGTCCCCCACCCATACCTTCATACGCCCCACACATGTGTAACCGTTGTATTCTTTGTTACAGCAAATAATACTCATGAGTGTAGTGCTGCTATTGTTACAGCGTTCTCTTTTACACTGGCTGCAATATGCTTACGTTGTAGTCTACACTAATTCAATTGCTTTCACTTTGGATATTAAGATCGCAAGCAATATGCAATATCTCATTTCATATGTCAGCGATTTGTATTATTCGGAGAAATTCACATTCCCATTACATTGAGTGAGTTCACGTTGAAACCATTGTGTCGATTTTGCCTACGTGCATGAATAAGTGCTAGCGCTTTGCATATTTCAAACACAATTGCCGAAATTCGGTAGGCTTATGCATTTCAGCGGCAAACGCCCACACGTTGTGCGAATGAACCGCCAATAACCGCCAATAGGCCACAAGCATTGTCCGCGCAATAACACAATTCATGAAGGCAGTCAAATGATTAATTAACATATGCACATAACTTGATTTGTCATAACTTGCACATAACTTGCACAGAACTTCCACATAACTTGCACATAACTTGATGCACATGTCATTGTTAAGGTCATGAAATAATGTATTGACATATCCACATCACTTACTTTGTGAAATGCCGTAGCATTACTAACGAAGCACACATAGGTCATAGCATAACATCGTCTTCATTCTCCTGTGTTGTCCGTCGTCGATGTCATGTGTGTCGTTTCACGTCACTTCCGTTGCTGCAATTTCAGCCGTCAATATATACCACCAATGGCCACACGCATAAATCCATATGCAAGCCGGCCTATAGTATAGTATAGTATTCTATACTATACTAGTATTTTGTGTAGTCGGCCATATAGAAATGAAATGGAATGATAACTTATGATGTTGTTATAAAGCTATCCATGCTATTATATATAATGCCCTAGGATTAGTAAGGAAGCAGGGAGCAATTGCTAGACCAAAGGTAGACGAATTGCCTTCACTTTCGATAGTAACATGGCAAGCAATATCGAATATGGAATTCCATATGTGACGGAATTGTAGTGTTCGCAGAAATCCAAATTAGCCTTACTCTCGGCAAAATGGCCGAAGCAGAACATTGCCGCTTTATGCACATCTATAAAAGTGTCAACAGCGTCTACTTGTAGTTGTACACTGTCATGTATACGCTTCATTATCAATTTAATTTCATTATGCGTCAGCGGCTTCATATAACCAGCGGCAGCTGCAGCGAAAGCATAAGCTTCGTTTTGTAATATAAGAATTCATAGAAATCTATTACAGCTCATTCGCCGTTAGCTCCTTCCACGTAAGTGTGTAACACATAACATTGTGAGGTCTTCGTGCATGTTCACAAACCAAACAACGTTCATACGCCACACATGTCTAACCCTTCTATAATGCTGTCTGTCTACTTCGGTTTTTGCTGTATACTATATATGGGTTATTACTGTATATATCATATATGTATGGGTATATAAAGCGCATATATCATTGTGACGGTAACGAAATCATCTACTGAGATACGGACATAACTTCATTTGTCATGAATTTGTATCTCATTGAAGTCACACTGATTTCTACATGTCATTCTCTTGTACCAGATTTCCCAAAAATGAAGAACGGCGCAAACAGTGGAGTACAGCTCTGCGCATTCAACATTTCGAGCTTCGGGATTCCTCAGTGGTTTGCAGCAAGCATTTCACGCACAATTCTTTCGACCGAACTGGCCAGTCAGTGAGGCTGAGGGCTGGAGCTGTTCCAACTGCTTTTCAGTCTCATGAGCATTTCGAGGTAAAAATACACACAGACAATAACATCCGTCAAACCACCATGCTACTGTATTCGCCAGCTCATGCCAATCGCCTCACAGTGTATATACGCAATACCTTTTTCTTCGACGCTTGGTAAATATGCGATTTCCAACTCACATTTACTTATACGAACTTTTAATCACCCTGGTTAATATACAATCCAGTGTGTGTGTGTATAATCAACGTCGAATAGTAGTCATGGTTTTGTGAGGTAGTGTTATGGCAAGAATGTGTTGAAACATACATTCCTGTAACTGCTATTGTAAGCCTTTTATAATACGATATTCATCGTCACAGTAGCATAACACGCTTCATTATATTCACTGAACTAAGCAATACAAGTATAGAAATGTCAAACTAACGAGTAGTAGAGATAGTCATGAACGGTTGAAATCAAACATCAACTTCCATATTTCCCTACACTCACTAATAGTTGTAATCGTTACTATAAGCAATTGTTCTGCTCTTATAGCATAGTACTCATGTATTTCTATATATACATAAGTATATATATGTATATATATACACAGCTAATATACACCTAGAGTGTACAACGCACAAAGTGCGAAATACTCCTATTTCACCCCAAACATATTCTTGTACTGAGGCCTGTGGGAGGCTTCATTACGCTGCAATATCTGCGCTTATGAGTATCGTACAGACAAGCGGTTCAATATATGGTCAATGTCAAAGGTTCACAGTGAAGCAATTTCGCTGAAAGCATGTCGCAACGCCTGAAAACAAAACCAACATCCACCCACCTTGCCCCTTGCGACCTTGTGCATTATGTTAAATTACATATTGAACTTCTTACCATCCACCATTCGTTCCGCACATATAATAGTTGACCGACTTGGACATTTTGGCCAGCAAGTTAGCATTTTCCATTTATTGCCATTTGGTGTGACAAGCAAGTAGCTCCAACAAACGGTATTGCTATGCTTAGAATACTGTATGAACCCCCAATAACCGGGGCAAGCAAGGATTCTCCGCGCAATCACACAATTCATGAAGGCAGTGAAATAATAAATTCACATATGCACATCACTTCATTTATCAAATTGCCTACCATTAGTCAGCAAGCAGGGATAGGTCATAGCATTGATATTTAAAACGTCATTGCCGAAATTCGGTCGGCTCATACAAGAGCCGACCGAATTCGGCAAGGGACGTTTATACAATGCTATGACTATCCCTGCTTGCTGACTAATGGTAGGCAATTTGATAAATGAAGTGATGTGCATATGTGAATTATATTAATTTCATGCCTTCATGAATTGTGTGATTGCGGCGGAGAATGTTGTCGGCTAACGCCGGTTATTGGGGTTCATTCGACAACGTGTGCGCGTTTGCCGCTGAAATGCATAAGCTACGATTTCGGCAATTTCTGTTTG